CAGTGTCACTGGCCCTCATATGTGGGATCCGAACCGGGGCCCTCTGGCATCCCAAGCCAGTTCTTAACCATCGCGCCACTCGGCCGGCCCACTAGGAAGCTTCTTATATGTGCAACTTTATAGAAAGTTTGGAAGCATAAGCATGCTCACTTTCAGAACACTAAAAAAAAAACAAAACTACCTAATGAAACTACGTATTGATGAAGAAGCTGACAGTACAGATGAAGATGCTGCCAACACTTTTCCCTCAGTTAATAAAACCAAACATTAAAACAACATTTGACTGACAGAAAAGACTACAAATGGATTCAATTTTGATGAACTACTCCCTAGTTCCATCAAAGCCCTCAAGATTCTACATCTTGTGATAAGGAGTGTGGTTTCAGGGCTTAAGTCTATAAAGAAGAGATTGATGGTGAGAGATACAAGTGTCAGTGGAGATTTAACCGTGTTGGTACTTTTTAAAGGATTGTTACTATTTTTTTTAGTGCTTTGATCACAAGTTTTATGTTTTAAGTGATCTGCTGAACTCTGCTTTTCCCATGAGCCTTTCTGTTTTCAGTGTACAAATTTGTAGAACACAAGGTTTTCAAATAGGGAAACGTATTTCTCTTTCTAACAGAAATGACTCTGCCAAAGGGGATACTTTGGGCAACAAGATAATTGTCCCAATGAAAGGTGTGAGATGCCATAGTGAATGATGATTAAAAAAAATAGGTAAATATGTGGGTAACTCTAAACAAACATTGACTATAGAAAAGAAACAATAAAAATGCTTAATTCAAGGTAGAACTAAAATACTAGAGTGTAATTATTTAAGTATTCTCATGTTCCTGTGAAGAGTGTAAAGGTAATAGTTGTTTTTCTTTTAAATATTAACTAGTGATATATTTATTGTAAAATTATTTTTAAAAATAAGGATATGTAAAAAAAAAATCAAGATAGTAGTTCTGGTGCTGTGAAAGGAGATAGAGGATGGGATTAGGAGAACACATTAGTGGGTTCAAAGCCACTGGTAATATCCTATTTCTTTAGATGGTTGGTAATTACCCAGTTGTTCGTATTAATGATGTTCTTTAAAACTTGCACATGGTTATAAGTATTTGTATGTGTATTCAGTATCTATTTTTTTTAAATGTTTTAGATTATATTAAAACCTGCATGTGACCACTTATGGATGGAAACTAATTTTCTTGGCTTATTTTCAGTTACCATCATCGTTCTTCTGTGGGCTGTAGTTTGGTCCATTACTGGCAGTGAATGCCTTCCTGGAGGAAACCTATTTGGAATTATAATCCTTTTCTATTGTGCCATCATCGGAGGTAAACTTTTGGAGCTCATTAAGTTACTTTCATTGCCTCCACTACCTCCTCTTCTTGGTAAGTGCTAAAACACTCCTGGGTTTTTTTTTCAGAGTAAATCATATTTTAAAAATAGCAGTTTGGAAAGCTTTGGGAGATAAAGGCATAAACTATTTTTTGTATTTTCTGTGCTGGAGCTAGAAGCTAATCAATTCTGAGGAATTCTGTGAACCAACTCTTAAACGTGGCAATTTCAAAATATTAAAATTATATATACTTACAATTATATAACTTTCATTAACCACAAAAGCAATAAATACTCAAAACTGGCCACTTTCTAATTATTTTACTACATTTCTCCTTATCTCTTCTCTTGAGATTATGGAAATACTAGATAATGGTGTGTCAGTAACATCATATTGGTAGCTTAACATGGGCCATGGTGGAAGTATCTATAATACAGAAATCAGCAAATGCAACAAGTCAGGGCTTGATATGTTGAAAGTTACATCACTGACAAATGAGTGAAGTTCCAACAAGTATTTTTATTGTTTCATTTTTATCTTATTCATTAACATTAACATAAACAACATCAATCAACATTCATGGTGACACTATATTTGCTCATTACTGATGTGAGTAACTTCTTTACCAATTTTTTTTTCAATAAGGATTTACTACAAAATAACTTGGGAATTGATGAAATAAGGTTGACCATGTATTAATGGTTTTTGCACATTTAAACCACTTTCGTAATACAAATTAAGAAAGGAAAAAAAAGAATACTTAACAAAGAAGGAGTTTCTTCCTCCACAACCCAGAGAGACGCCCCCATGGGTTTACAGGCAAGAAGGGGACACCTGCCAAATCACAATCAGGTGGCCACATCAACCCAGACCATGTCAAAGGAAACTGTCCCAGAGAAATTGTTTTCACATTCATTTTGGGAATAAAAATGCTCCCTCATCCTCCCTAAAACTCCTAAAGAAACTGTTAGTATATTTTTGAGTTATTATTCCTTTTGATTTCAGGTAGCTATATGCTATAATCAATCTAGGACTGGTTTAGATCCACATTTTAAGTTTCCTTACATTACTATTGACATATTAATGAAATGTAAGCTTATTGCAGCATTGTTGGCTGACAATTCATCAATATCTGTAAAAACGATATACACCTGTACCCTGGATCCTAACATTTCCACTGCTAGGAATTATTATCCTGTGTATATTCTTGCACAAACCTACAAATAATGTATGCTCCATATGAGCAGGGACCATGTTGGTCTAACTCACCTCTGTATTGCCAGGGAATCATAACAGTCTGGCATGTCTGGCACTTAATAAATACTTGATATGTGAACTGGCCTGTTATAAGTCCAAAAAATTATGATATTTCCAAACAATGAGATACTATTGCGAGTATCCTGGAATATGTCCAGGATATATGGTTAAGTAGGAAAAGAACAAATTGCACACTGGTATAAAAATATGCTCCCTAATTGTGTCCAACACAAAAGAGCGCTCAGACACACACACACACACACACACACACACACACACACACACACACACACACACACATGCTTAAATAGGGAGAGAAACTTTCTGGAAGGGCACAGATAACCCTTCACAGGGGCAACCTTTGGGGAATGAAGATGGAAAGTTGCATTTGGGGCAGGGCATGTACTTGTCACTTTACCCTTGTCTGTAATGTTTTAATTTTACCATGAGCATATACTATTGTTATATTAGTCTTTTAAAAGCAGCTATTGTAGGCTAGTTCATACTTTCAAAACTTCTGGAAAGACCATGACTGCAGAATTCAGAACTTTTAAGACCTTCTTCTAGATTAAATGGCAGTGATGCTTCGTTGCCTAATGATGCTTGGAGCAAGTCACAAAAAACTATACTTGTAATTCGTCTCTATTCTCATAGCTTACATACAAAGCACCCCAACTTTAGTAAATTTTAGTCATTTAACGTGTGGTGCTGATAAGGACATGGTGTGAAAGAGGGTTCTGCTGGAGAAGAATGCAGGGCAGACGCTTGACTGTGTCTGACAGAGAAATCTTTCCCGCTGTATGGGCACGTGGCATCCACAATGGCAGAGTTCTCTCACAACTACACAGCTTCCTCAGTCACACTCAACTACATAGAGTTCCCAGAATGTGTCTCACCTTCTCATGCATTCGAAGAAACTGCTGTTTCTCCCATAAGTTTCTCTATTGCCCCAGCCCCGTCTTCATCCTTTCCTTTCTGGACCTCTCTGACTCAGCTGTCCATAAAATTGAGACTGTCAGTTTGTCTTGCTCCCTGGAGGCTGAAAGCTGGTTGAGGTGCAATACCGAGTGTTTGCTCATTAAATCTCTAACTTTTAACTCATCACCATAAATAAAAGAATTAAAAATGTTTATACAGATGTGGAATTAGTACTATCCATGTATAGGGCAGATTCTTATTTTTCCCTCACAAATTTGGGCAAAAAAAGTACTCGTTATACACAGCAAAATATGATAGTTTTCTTTCACATCTAAAATGCCAAAAAAACATTTTCTATATTTGAAAACTAATTAAAGGGTTGTTTGACTTCTCCATTCTAGGCATGCTCCTTGCTGGGTTTCTCGTCAGAAATATCCCTGTCATCAGTGATAACGTACAGATCGAGCACAAGTGGTCCTCCTCTTTGAGAAGCATTGCCCTATCTATCATATTGGTTCGAGCTGGCCTTGGGCTTGATTCAAAGGTATGGAAGTGTACATTTCTAACTATTGACTAAGAATTTTGTTCCTCCAAAACTACAAGTATTTAGAATCACTGAGCTTTAGAAAATGGATGTGGACACTTTGCATGGCATTCCCAAGAAGAGAATGGAGTTTATTTCATGCAGCACTATCCCCAGAAGATATTCCCATACTCTATCTATCTCGGAGAAAAGTGGAGTTACTGTCTGTCTAGGGACAGCACCAAGAATAAAGTCTCTCCCTTTCTTTGACAGAGATACAGGCCATAGTTATAAATAATGGTTGTGAGAGAGAAGACATCATATTTTTGGTGTGCAAAGCCCTATACAAGTGTTCGGCGCTAACTATACTGTCTCAGGAAACTGCCTAGTCTATAGAATGAGTCTCAAGTATGCTTTTTAAAAATGCTTTTATTCACGTATGTTTTTTAATGCGGGAATGAATGTTCTTGGGGATGCAGGTCTTTAATCTAGGTTCATGCTGGGCCCACAAATTGTACATAAAGCTTACACTGAGAGGGTTAAACCAGTTACTATGGAGATTATGAGCAGCTTGCCTGAATTCAAACCTAGCTCCACAACTCACCAATTTCATGATCTTGGGCAAATGACTTTAATTTGTGCCTTTTCAGGTGAGGACATCTGAAAAATGGGGGTAATAATATTACCTATGTCACAGGGTTGCTATGAGAACTAAATAAGGTATCTCTAAAACTTAGAATATTGAAATATTTGTTAAATAAAATTCATGATGATCCACATATGGTCTGAATACCGAAGAAAATTGTTTAATGTACTTTCTTTGCGTGTCTTTAGAGGATTATTTTAGTATGTCTATTTTTGTATTTCAGGCTCTGAAGAAATTGAAGGGTGTTTGTGTACGATTATCCATGGGTCCCTGTCTTGTGGAGGCTTGTACATCTGCTCTTCTAGCCCACTTCCTAATGGGTTTACCGTGGCTGTGGGCATTTATACTGGGGTAACGATTTTTCCTTGTCCTGTGAAAATATGTGAGGACTTTCTCTGCCTCTGTACAGGAGAATACATAATAGCATTTTCTTAAGGACATCAGAAAATACAATGTGGATAGTCCAGCATAATGTTATAACTACTGATATTCCAGCATATAAATATTAAACTTCAAAATATAGTATATATCTTTGTCAGTGCTAACTTTTACAGGAGTTATAATAATTTAAGCTACTGAGAAAGTAATCGTCTTTTACCAACACCTGATTCCATGCTGGTGAGAGAGCTGCTGGATGTCACCTCAAAGTCTGCACAAAGGAGAATAAACACATCGGCAGTGATCAAGACTATTGTGATTAGGTGGTTCTTCTGTCTCCCTCCCACTGTCCGTTCTTACCTCTAATGCTTAAGGGCCCTGAGAGGTAAATAAATATGAAAGTGCTTAGTAAGAATTTAGTACTAGTAAGTAGGCAAGAAGTAAGTTCTTGCTTCTCATGGTTGACTCTGGAGCTATACCGCCTAGACTCAAATCCTGGCTCTGTGACTGTCCAGTATGGGATCTTTGGCAAGGTATCTAATCTCTGTGCCTCTGCATTCTCATTTGCAAAATGAAGATAATGATTGTAGCTACCTCATAGGTTTGCTGTGAGGATTAAATTAGTTAATATATGTAAAGTCATTAAAATGGTGTTTGGCACATAGTAAGCATTAAAAAATGCTTCTGCTGTTAATCACTGCCGCTAGTATTAGTATCGATGTCAATGTCATTATGGCCTTCCCCTTCTAATCTGTTGTCTTATTTGATTTACCAAGTTACCAAGTCCTGATAGAAGGCATAGCATCACTGGTTTCCAATCCAAAAATCCATGGCCATATTTTTTAAACCTCATGACACGAATGTTTTGTTTTCTAAAAAAGGCAGATTTCTGGGGCCTAACCATAAATATATAGTATATTTTAAGCAACCAAAGTGCTTCCAATTCAGGTTGTCCATGGCCACACTTGGAAAAAGTGTTCTGTAGAATGTGTGTGTATATGTGTGTGTGTATTTCTGGCTTCGTGGATCACTGTCATTTGAAAGATTAATTATCTAAAGTATAACCTCTAAAAGAGTAGAGGTTACTGTAATTTCAATAATAATGATGATGACCAGTAAGATACTATCATAAATGTTTAAAGTGCTGCCTATTTAGTTTTGTCTTAGGTGCTGTCTCTCCAGCTGTTGTGGTGCCTTCCATGCTCCTTTTGCAGGGAGGAGGCTATGGTGTTGAAAAAGGTGTCCCGACCTTACTCATGGCTGCTGGCAGCTTTGATGACATTCTGGCCATCACTGGCTTCAACACATGCTTGGGCATGGCCTTTTCCACAGGTAAACCGATCAGTTCACAATGTGCCGTTCTCTTGAGCTCTAGAGACAAAAATTGTGATGATGAAAGCGTGGGATATTTGCTTGATGACTGATTATGGGAAATTAAAATAATAAAAGCAACTCCAAGAGTTGGTTCTGTACCGAAGGAGGAACCACTGGCTTCCAATCTTTACTCCCTTCTTTACTCCCCTGGACACAGGCGGCTCAAGTAGTATGGGTAGTGCACTAAGGGTGGGTGCAAAGTAGCAAAGTTTAAGGGACAACACTTTCTGCATGGAGCTCTCTGGGACAGTTTCATCTTGGAGACTTCACACAAGGGATGAGTAGGTTTTTCAATGAGCACAAATGACAGAGACCAGTCCAAGTGGAAGGAACAATTTCTGTTCCCTCATCTTTAACATTTTATGGGTAATAACAACAATGATTTTAATGAGTATCTTAAGTGTCTGGTATAGATTTATTTTGTTTTAAGTAGTAATAAAAGAGGAAGGCATTGTTTTTCACTGTTATTCAGCACCTTTACTGCGCTTTGACAGAGCACAAGTTTAACTTCATGTTTTAATCTGTGTCCAAGAATGGAAAGATAAGATTTGTAATTCATATTATTTACAAACTGTAATTGTACCATAAATTTAGCTTCAGATTTTTTAGTGGAAACACACTTTAGAAAGTCATGTATTGTCTCTCCACCCCCTCTGTAGTTATCTTCCCATTTTATGATTATGTATGATTTATACTGATTATCTTGAACCTTGCCTCTTCCCATTGTCCCAGTTGCCTTACATCCAGTCCCCGCCATGTCTCACTGGTAAATTAATCTTATCAAAGCATGGCTTTCATAATGTTACTTTTTTGTTTAAGAACCAATGAGGATTCCCTATTACCTACTAAGTCAAATCTACATTCTTGTCTTTATTTTCACTCTACTTATGCCTATCCAAATTTATGTTCTTACTGCTTTCCTGGTGGATAACTTTAAAACAATGGTTCTCAGCCCCAACTGCCCACCAGAATTACCTGGGAGGCTTTAAAAAAAATGCTTGTAGGTGGGCCCTACCATAGACCAATTAAATCAGAGCATTTGGGAATGGAAAACATGACTTTAGAATGTTAAAAAACAAATTTCACCCAAGTAAATTTGAAGATCTAATTGGCTTTATTAAGTGATTCATGAAATCAGGCAGCAACCCATTTAGAAACTAGAAGGGCACTCTGAGGAATTGTACAAAATGTAAGATTGTTATAGGAAGAAGAATGGGGGAAGGGAGCTATGAATAAAAGAAAACAAAGGATTATTTTTAGACCAAGATGACTTTGTGTGTGTGTGTGTGTGTGTGTGTGTGTGTGTGTGTGTGTGTGTTGTGGGCGGGTGGGAGGTAAGGGTTTATATGATGCAGGTTGCTTCTTTGCTCTGGGGAGGGGTAGTGAGGGAGATGGAAAGGGTCCATGTGGCAGGAAATTCCTGGAAATTGTTGAACAGGAAATTCCAGACTGGTTGATTAAGGTTGTATTGCTGAGAGAGATTGAAACTGCAGTTAAATCAGGCATTAAATCTAGGTTTGGTATCATAGGCTTTAGCACAAGTGACACCATTTTGGTCCTATGATTTTCTCTTTAACAAGAGCAAGAGAGTTTGCATTAGAATCACGAAGGTGGCGGGGAGGCAGGGAAAAGCAGGTTCAGGGAAGGCAGTGGGTCTGTTTGGGATTTTATAATCTGGTAATTTGGGGGATGGAAAATAAATTATTTCCTGTGATATAACATGTCATTTATCACATACTTTTGACAGTCACACATTGTCTAACAGAGTTGTCTGAGCTAAATAAAATTGCTACAACGGTATTGTATTTTTAAATTAAAGAGATGATGAAAACTGTAGGGGAAGAAAAACTGGTTCTCTACCAATTTTAGGTTCATTGGCTGGGGCCCCTTACAGCCAGATTAACAAGAGAAAACCAGTTTGTTAGCACATGTATTGTGCTACTCACCACTGAGTAACTCAAAGAATTCGTTAGAATTTGGGCTTATGTAGCATCTTAGCAAAGAACCCTAATTTTGTAGAGAATTACCAAAGGATAAGGACTTTGAGCTTTAAGGGCAGTAAAGTGTGGAAAGGCACATACATATATGAGGAAACTAATAATCGGTAAGAGCTTGTTTTAGCAAAAATTGTGACAGGTTCATTCCTCTCTTGCTGTCTCTGAGCTGATAACGTCCCTCAGTGTCTCAATGGTTAACTTTTGTCCTTCCTGGTAGAGAGGGGAGAGGGACACCCTTACAGATTTATATCCAGCTTTTTAAGCAAAGAGAGGGAGTGCAGGTAGCTTTTCATGTATCTGTTCCTTCTCAATTGCCTTCAGCTCAAAATAATCCTTAATGCCAAAGTAGCATATTTTGGGGTGGCATATTCTATATCCTTCACTATAATAGCAAGAAACCACAATAACTCCTTAGTACATTTATTCTTAGAACAGTGTGAGAAGAAGGGCTTTATGTGTTGATCAATTTTAATATAATTTTCTATACAATGTGCTAACAAAGATTTTATTTCAAGTCTCCAAAATCTTTTATGCTATGGAGGAAAATACAGATGCTAACTTACCTCTATTTTATGATGCATATTTCAAAGAAGCTAAACAACCTTAAAAAAACTCTACTAAGAGCAATTTCAAAAATGATTTCGTTCAGATTTACTTTTAGAAAAATCATTTGAGAAGGGGTAAGTCCCCTACACTGACTGTAGTAAGAAAAGAATCTTGATTTTAATTGCCAAGTTCTTAAATGACTGTAATCCTATACATATCAGAACTACTAAAATAAGTATACATTTATTATTGAAAAATCAGGCTCTTAAATTTGAAAACTATATCTGTCTACTCACCTAGCCTAAGCATATAAAATAGCAGAACAAAT